CACACACACACACACTCACACACTTTCTCTTTCCCTTTTTCTCTTCTATCTCGCTGTTTATCTATCGTTTTCTCTCTCCCCCTCCCTCCCTCCCTCCCTCTCTCTCTCTCTCTCTCTCTTTCTCTCTCTCTCTCTCTCTCTCTGTCTGTCTCTCTCTCTCTCTCTCTCTCTCTCTCTTTCTCTCTGATTCACAGACTCCCCCCTCTCTCCGTATGTGTGTGTATGTGTGTATGTGTGTGTGCGTTTGTTTGTGTGTTTGATAGACACTTTTCAGCCTGCGTATGCAATAATCTTATATGGGAGTACACCTCTTTATTACGTAAATAACACAATATTGCCTCCGGGGAGGGTTAGAGCCTACACTACAATATTATTAAACATAAGAACTAATGTCCATTCCTACAGACAAGGGTGGAAATCCTGACATAGCTTAACTACAAAATGTTGTCGGCCGAGGAATGTGGGGGTGTTCCGAGGGTCAGACTCTCCCTGGTCCTGCTGCATGCCTCAGTCCAACAGGAACAGGTCTTCTCGACATAATATGTCCCTCTTACCTCTCTCCATATACAGACTTACAGGAGTCAAATGAGAGCTCGGCACACATAAGACTGAAAGGGAGAACGAAAGAAATACATGAAGCCAGGAAAAGAAAGAAAGAAGAAAGAAAATCGGAAAGATAAACAGAGAGAAATAAGGTAAGAAGAAAACAAAAACATTACAAAGAAAAGAAAAAAAAGAAACTCGAGAGAGAGAGAGAGAGAGAGAGAGAGAGAGAGAGAGAGAGAGAGAGAGAGAGAGAGAGAGAGAGAAGGGGGGGGTATAGATTGGAAAAAAAGGGGGAAAAAAGGCCTAACCCTAAGGACTTGGGGAAGACGTTTTGTACATTTTGTGGGGGCGTTAATCTACCATATACTGACATCGACACTCTGTCAACAGGGTGGCTTTGCCTGCGAGAATAAAATTTATTCTAAGAGGATACCTCCAAGCCTAGGGGCCCATTGATCTGGAAGGAAATTCACGTTACTACTTTATAAAAGAGTCAACAAAGAAAGAGAAAAACAGGAAGGCCTAGAAGTACTCGGAGAAAAAACTCAGCTTAGAATCGATCCTATAGGAGTCGGGATACAGCTGGACGGAGGTGGGCCCAGGACAGACATACGTGGAAGTGTGCACTCTAGCATGCGGAGGGAGAAGCTGATGATGATAGTTATGACGTTTCCTAAAAGAGCAAACACCTCAAGGAAGAGGGTGAAAGTGATATGCCTTATATTTTAGTATTGAAGTGATATGAGAAACTAAAATGAAGGGATGCGTTGATATTTCATTTTTTTAAAGGAGATGGAATATGGTGGTATACTCGATAATAGATCTGCAAGAGAAAAGAAAAAGGCTCTTTATCTTACTGTTTTCGCAGAAATTTAGTCTTCGTTGCTTTATTGCTAAACATTTACAAACAGTTTCGCTGACTGTCTTGCTTTTAAAAGAGGGAATATATGTGTGTCTGTGGAAAGGGGCGGAAGGATAGGGATGGGGGTGCGGGCTTGTGTTAGAGGCGCTTCAATTCCTGTCAAATCTTTATAGATTGAAAATATAAAGAAAGAAGAAAAAAGAATATGACACTTTCCTAAAATAAATAAACACTGGAACGAGAAATCGTCTTTCGTAGTCACCTTTATTCATTGATACAGGAATAATTCTGAATCTATTGATACAATGAAACAAAATATATACCCATCGATAATGGGTTGATAGTGTTGCGGCTTTCCTCAGAGAAGGAGCAACCTATTTGCCTGGAAGTAAACATAGCAATGAATGCCAGGACCAGACTAAGCTCATTTCCCAATGACTGCGTTGGGAGGCATAGTTCCTGTGTTCCAAGGCAATGTCTGCGCCCCTGTTGTGTATGTAGATCGAGGCCAGAAGGTGGAGAAGACGGTCGTCCTTGGTGGTGCGACTGTCCCACTACCACCTGCTGCCCCCGCCCCTCCGAAACCTAGCCCCCAGTAGTAGTTAAACCCTCCGTCCTGACTCGTACGACCCCCAAAGCTCTGAGCCGCAATTGTCGGATTCGGTGCCGCGAATGTGCTCCACTGGTAGCCGTTTGGGTTGAAGGAGCCGCCGCTTCCACCTCCAAAACCACCGCCGCTACCACTGCTGGGGTTGGGTGGTGGAATGGTCCCCCACTGCCCGGCGTTAGGGTCAAATCCGTTAGCAGGTGCCGGGGTGCTTCCGCTTCCGGGAACGGGTGGCGGGATTGTCGTCCATTGACCTGCATTGGGGTCAAAGCCGGCGTTTGGTGACGCAGTGTTTCCGCTGCCTGGAATGGGTGGCGGGGCCATTGTGGTCACTCCTGCATTAGGGTTGAATCCGCCAGTGCCGAAGCCATTGATAGCATTTGGGTCGAAACCTGAAACATAGCAGTTTTATTTGGGTTTTTTAACGGTTTTTTTGACAAAACGAGAATTCTTCGGGGATTCTTTTTTTTTCTTTTCACGATGCAAAACTGTTTGTGATCTTATTCAGTCGGCTAATGGGTGAAGGAGAAGACAATGAGAAGCATACGCAGTTCAGAATTACAGGAAGACAATCGGCAATATAGCTAGCTGGTTAGCTATGTGGTTATGTGTTTGGGTAGGTAGGTAGGTCGGTAGGTAGGTCGGTAGGTGAGTGAGTGAGTGAATGAGTGAGTAAGTAAGTGAGTGAGTGAGTGAGTGAGTGAGTCGTCAGTCAGTCACTCAGTTAGTCAGTTAGTCAGTCAGTTCTGAGCCCCCACCAGAGATACACACACCTAATTACAAACGTATTACTCTACTGAACGCTGACGAAAATTTTCAGTAAAGGCAATACATGAAAAAGAAAATGTTTCTGACTCGGTCTTGACCAAGCAGAAAGAAAACAAGCTAAAACGTAAACAACTTATTTACAAGGGACGAGGAGCTATATGCAATTCAACACACCAAACCAATCGATCGACAGATATCGACCATCTTGTGTTGTGGAAAGCAAAAAGGAACGGCAGAAAAAGTTTAGGGGTAGCAATGAAGTGCGGCTCATGGCATCCTCTAATGGCAGTCACTAATGGGGATATCACTAACCTTGTTCCAAGAAACCTAAAACTTGACCACTGATGCACAGTGCCAAAATAAGCACACGGGTGATCATGGCGACCACAGACCTGTGCTGGTAACGAAACTGGTCTTCAGAATCTTTGGCCGTTCCGTCACCTGAGGTCAGTCTTATCTTTGGAACCTGTGGCCCTGTTATGTCACCGGGTGATGTCATAATGTCTAGTTCAGGTGCAGATTGTTATCTGAAGCATTGCTATTGAATTAAACTCAGCAATTTAACATTATGTGTGTGTGTATGTGTGTGTGTGTGTGTGTGTGTGTGTGTGTGTGTGTGTGTGTGTGTGTGT